CATTTACCATATAATTTATCTCTTTTTTTTCATAAATTTTTATTATAATCCATTACTAGTGAGATTATACACATGTGAAGGAAAATCACAAGTTTAAAGATGAGACTGTAGTTAGTTCCATGGATATTATGACTTTTTTTTTTTTTTTTTCTTCTTGTTGTTGTCAAATTACATGTAACTTTTTCACATTAAAATCTATGAATAACCAGCTATTAAACAGACGGTAAGTACTAAGTAGTATATATAAAAAAATTTCTTCCTAAATTATATAAAAAAAAAATATTTAAAACAATTATAAAAAATAGGCTAAATGGGTCTTAAAATTAAAAGAAGCAGTGTAAATTCTAAGCAAACACTTTTCCCCGACATTGGGGCACCTTAAAAATTTGTTCCAAAAATTGCTCCAATGATATAATGGGGCTCCTGGAATATTGTTTTTGAGAGAATATTGACTTTTTGAACATTTTGTATGAGAGTATGTTATATTGTTATGTTATGTACTCCTATTGTTAGAAGAGAGAGAAAAGGAGAATTGAAGCAAGCGTTTTGTCACGTGACTTTGTTGATTATTTTGCGTGGAATGCAATGAAAATGAAATTGATTGATTACCTTAGCATAGTGACCAATCATCCCTCTAACCAAAGGATAAAGTAACGTGCCACATATACTATTTTTGTATTTTTTTTAATTAAATTATTAAACACAACTACTAGTAACGTAATTCGAGTAGTACATCTTTTTTTATATCATAAAAGATAATAATAAAGATAATACAATTATAAAACCATTTGTTATGTCACAATCTTTAAAGTATGCCCATGATTCATGATGTTTATGGGTCAGCATGCATGATTCTCATGATCCATCCAACATTAGCATAAGTCCATTAAATTATTTGGGCTCTTATCTTGGGCCTCTATATTTTGTTCAACATGCACGGCCACGTGTCACTTCATAAGTGATTCAATTTCATATCGAGTTATCATCTTTAATCTATGTATGTATCTAGAGATCAACGTTAATGAGTATGTAATGTAACGGAGGGGATGAAATTGCATTACCATGAATAAATAAGTTATCGATAAGAGATATATCCACAGACCACGGGTTCATATACATGATCACAATGCAAATTCAACATCAAAAATCGAAGATGCTACCTTAAATAAGCATCAGCCATCTGGCCTAGCAAGTGGAAGACTATAAGTCATTACAAGTCTTGTCTAAGCATCCTCAAAAAGACATGGTTTCTAAGTATTGCATACCTAACTAAATCTAACCTTTGGAATTTCATTTGTCAGAACCAACCCCCATTAAGGAAATACACAAAAGAATACGAGGGCTAATAAAAAAAAAATAAAGAAGAGGAATACAGAATATCTGCCCTAGGGTGTAAAATCACTTTTTCCGAAAAATTAAAAGTAAAACATGAATTCAGCTCCAAGTTTTGAATTAGAATTTAATTTTTAGTATTTTTGGAAAAAAAAAAAAAAAAATACATATGCTTATCAACCTTTATGATCAAAACATCCTGTATGCCTAGAGAGTGACTCAAGAGTCCAGACTGATAACATTTTATTTTATAGTCGCGTTATACAATATGTTTGATTTAGCTTAGCTTGTCTTGAATGGTACAGACTTAACTCTTTCAAAAAATCAATAAATTCGCCGTAAAATAAAAAAACCATTCTGATTTTGTAATTCAAGCTACATAATGCTCATAGAGTACAAGTATTAATATAGAAAATATAGTATTATAAATTGCTAATACAATTATTAGAACTTAAGTAAACTACTGTTGTACAGATTGTGGCTGGCCTGTTCTATATAGGAATAAGGTCCAAATCTTTGAACACGACAGGAAAATTAGATCTGTATCTAAGAAAAAGGGTATTCCATTACTTGTTGATCCACTTTGTTAATTCTTTAATTAATCATGTGGCTGCCTAACCTTAATAATAGTTCTATCAGTTTTGGACATTTGGATTCAATTTAGTTTTCTAGAATAATGTATAAAGAACATGCTCTAAGAAATCTTCTATAGCATCTATAGCTAGTACTTAAAATTTAAAAGATTTTGATTGTGTAATCTGGAGCTATGTTCGGAAATAATAGTCACATATTAATTTTGGAATTAATGTGTCAAAGTTTGTTTGACCATCTACTTAACTTCACACATTGACAAATTAGTGTAATTTATGTATTTATACACTTTCAATTACATTTTTTATTTTTTTTACCAATGTTTAAAGACAAAACACATATGTCAAAAGTTCAAACATTTTTTACTACAAACTCTTGTTCTTCTCTGTCTTTGCCATAGCCTATTGCCAAATAGATGGAGTCGGCTGCATGAACCATTGTGTTTATACTACGTATATGTATGTGCCAACAAAGTCAAAATGAATTATTGTTAACTCGACATTCAAATCCAAGTGATGTTATTTATCCACCTAAACCTACCTTAGGCAAGTTCTTAGGCCAAACTACTTAAGATATCTCATTAAAGTGATCTCTTTTTTCCAATTATAGTCCTAGTAACAAGTATAGATTTATCTAATATGCTCACTAAATATATGCCAGAAAAACATAAAAGAAGAGACATAATGAATCTTAGCAAATGACTGAATGGCAAGAAAAAACGTCAAAAGTAGCTTCATCAACTATCTAAAAGCAAGAAAAAGACTTAAAGAAGGAACAGATTTTCTGTGTAATAAACATATTATTGATTGGAAACCATCAACAAGTTTATCTTTATTTTTGTGGAACTTTTTTGTTCACTTTAAATAATTCCTTACTTTGCTCCTCTATTTTCATTCAATTTCTCCTGTTTTATTCCAAAGAAAGGTTAAAAGGACATTTGGAGCGCACTTTGGACCCACAACGGCATATAATTAAGTACTCCACAGTTAAACAAACAAAAAAAATAAGCATGAAAATAATATGATACGATAAAATTAATGGGTCGGCTGCATGAACCATTGTGTTTATACTACGTATATGTATGTGCCAACAAAGTCAAAATGAATTATTGTTAACTCGACATTCAAATCCAAGTGATGTTATTTATCCACCTAAACCTACCTTAGGCAAGTTCTTAGGCCAAACTACTTAAAATATCTCATTAAAGTGATCTCTTTTTTCCAATTATAGTCCTAGTAACAAGTATAGATTTATCTAATATGCTCACTAAATATATGCCAGAAAAACATAAAAGAAGAGACATAATGAATCTTAGCAAATGACTGAATGGCAAGAAAAAACGTCAAAAGTAGCTTCATCAACTATCTAAAAGCAAGAAAAAGACTTAAAGAAGGAACAGATTTTCTGTGTAATAAACATATTATTGATTGGAAACCATCAACAAGTTTATCTTTATTTTTGTGGAACTTTTTTGTTCACTTTAAATAATTCCTTACTTTGCTCCTCTATTTTCATTCAATTTCTCCTGTTTTATTCCAAAGAAAGGTTAAAAGGACATTTGGAGCGCACTTTGGACCCACAACGACATATAATTAAGTACTCCACAGTTAAACAAACAAAAAAAATAAGCATGAAAATAATATGATACGATAAAATTAATGGGTAGACATAAGATAATCGAATGAAATTAGAATGTGGTGCTTGTGTCAAGGTTTGCAAAGGGTATCATATGGTTGGAAAGCATATAATATATCACTTCAATACCATAAAATTATATCTCATTCTCATTCGTCAAAGATTTTGAGACCCACCATTTCAACATGTTATTGATCTTAAGCATAAAACCTACAAGAATGAACAACTTATTATAAAGTTTATATTTATTCTTTCTAAATTTGTTCTCCTTTCATTGGCTATTATGGACCAGTCAATTGCCTTATACACTATTAACATGTTCGTAGAATCGTAGATAGTCTATCAAATTATAGCCCTAAAAATGAACAGCTTATCATAAAGTTTGATATTTGGTTTGGCTATAAACCACCTCCATCGAATTTTAGAATAAGAAAAGGTACAGCCTCTACATGCAATTTTTTTTTTTTTTTTTTTTAGGAAAGCCTCTACATGCAATTAGTTGTACGGAGTAACATATTGTTTTTTTGTTTTGCATAAAAAAAAAAATATAAATAAATAAATAAAAAAAAAAAAAAAAAAAAAACTTGGTAAAATTAGTTGATATGATGTTACTATTTAATTTTTTAATTCTTTTTTCAATTATCGACCATATGATCTAATTACTTTGGCAGACCTCTAATATGCTTGCGAGTCACAAAAAATTGAAGCAATCACTGCTTAACTTTCAGATTATCCTACTTAAAAGTATCGTTCAAAATGATAGCGTAATACTCCTTTGAAAAAGCACAATACAGCAAACAAGTAAACATAGAAATTGAGCCAGAAAAAATAAGTACATAGACCCAAGAATCAAGCAAATGAATCACTTAAATTAGATTCCTGAATCACTTGAATGAATCACAATACAGCCCAAATTATTGTATTACAAGTGCCCAAGCCCATTTCCTGTCAAGCAAATGAATCACTTAAATTAGATTCCTGAATGGTCACATACTCATTCAATTCATCTAACTTCAGGTTCAGTTTGGTCCAAATTATTTCAATACCATACAAAAATTCAATCAACAAGTTTCTGATTTCATGTCAAAGTTTGGTTACCAATTTTCATGCATTAGTTATAATAAATAAGAATGAGTATAAGCATAAAGAGAGAGACTGTTATATACACCTAGATGTACTGTACACCCATGAGCTTCTGATGGTTGTTTTTCATTTAATTATCAAATGAAGAGCAAAAACAAACTTTATAGTAGTTGGGGGTGCACGGTACATCCAGGTGTGTATAAAATATTTCAACATAGAGACCTGTGTTAAAAAATTCCTATTGCAAAAGCAGTACAATGCCATTGAGTAATATCATCCGAAGTATATCCAAAAACTGCATAGAACACATCCATTTCTCTATATACGAGTATCAAAGAGGAAAAGAAACTGCAAAAAAATAACAGGAAAAGGAGAGCTTTTCTATAGAATTTTATTAATGTAGTCAGAAGATTACAACGTTTAATCAGCTGTAACTACAAAAAGAATTTAAAGAACCCTACCTTAAGGGAAGCAGCAGACTAATGTTAACGAAGAAAAAAAAGAAAAACCCTAAAAACATGAAGATTCTGGAAATAGCCCATTGTCTTCACAAGAATTGGTTAAAAAAGGTTGGAAAAAATAAAAAAGATGTACAGTACACCACTTTCTATGTTCCCCCAGATGAAGAAAGGTTCTCCCGCCAAAGACAGAAAAACACTCCAGCTTAAGAACCCCCAAGAATAACTGGTGCGACACGCCCCAATTTAAGGCCTGCACAAAAGAATTTCAAATCTTCTAGCCATGGTTAAATTCCTCTGCTGCTTCCAAAAATCAATTTTCTGTAGTACTTTTCAATGTAGTTAGGACCCCCGCGTTAAAAGAAAAATCAGAGTTAGCAAAGTCAGACCCCTCCTGGTGGTTGCCCGGAGAGTGGACCAGCTAAATTGTTGTCTTTTTTTATGTTTAATAATTACTCAATCTAACCTGCTCTCTGACCCAAGAAATGAAGGGCCTTTCACTTTAAGACGCTTTGGACCTATATCTAAGGGATGCGGTTCTCTTGTTATCTTTCCAATGTTCTGTTGGAATCTGCCACTCGAGGGATGATCTCTGTGTCTGATACTTGGTCCATCACCAGGCGTCCTTTTTACTTTGATAGAAATGGGAACTATAGATCCTTTATGAGGACCATCCCTCATAACAATGACCTTGCCATCCTTTGAGTGAATATCACTTTTCCTATTAAACTCACAGTAATTACCGGGATCTATCTCCTCAACTCTTCCTTCCGGCTGAAACTTCTTCAACCTTTTAAGCCCCTGAAAGTATACATGATACAACAATGTCATATTTGCTTTCCCAGAACAGTCGATAACATAGTTCAACATGTAAAAGCCAGATAACAAGCATACAAACTAATCCATCGCGTATAAGCATACAACTATGTCAAAAACAAACAGATTTTCCCAATAAATTATCCAAAAATATATATGCAACGGAAATACATATCCCAAAACGAAATCGCCTAACCCCTTTATTGATCCCAATCACCTATTTGCAAGATCCAATATTTAAACAGAGTAAAAAAGAAAAGTAGCTTGTGCGTGGTTAAATTAGAGTTCCATAAGCCCAAGTGATGTACAAAAAAGGGTGGACCATGGCAAACTATCAATGAGTTACATCAGTCTACAACCACCTCAATCAAGTCTGTAAATTAAGTTCACAAACATTGGCAGGGTAGTTAATGAAACCACATGGCCATAAAGTCTACCCAGATCTAAGAACTTCCCATATAGCGTATATAAATGTTGTGATAGGATGTCAGAGGAATACTAATTAAGCAATTATACTCGAATACAAAGACAAACTGGAAACATCAGTAATACCTGATGTTTTGCATAATCCGAATTGCCCTCGCCAATAACACTCTTCCTCCCGGCCTTCAAAGTAGATCTCCGTTTAACCCTGAATATCTCTGAATCAGAATCATCACTGCAGTGATCAGCATTGTTTGACAAATTCGATAAAGAAGTCTGACATGAATGGTGAGATGTATCGTCAATGCAATCAATTAAATTTGAATCTATACAGTCCTGTACCTGCAAGCAAAGTGCACAAAATTATTATACTACAGTGTCAAAAGAAAGTATTACATATTTTACAGAAAAAAGGGCAGCTATCTCGACAAGTAGATAATCTTACATTGTTAGAGTGAGTAAAATCATTATCCCGGAAAGAGCAGAGGGTAGACGCAGCACAAGAAAGCGGAGTTTCTGACGAGTTGGCAACAACTTCTTTACTATTTGAAATTGGACCGCCTTCAAAGTTAAAATCTATTTGTGATGAATCATTTACGGAATCATCATTTGGATGCACCTCATTAGTAATATCACAGAATGGGAAATATCCATCCTTTTCAGCAGGAAACATGGTTGACAGCAAAAGCAAATCATCATTTCCCGAAGCCTGTTGAAGCTCTTCCAGTAAACCCTCATCCTGCTCAAACTTCTTGGCTGCATTTTCCAGTTCAGGAAGATCTTTCCTTATAAGTAGTGTACAACCACCACCGCAAGGGAAAACGAACGAACTCATATCTACATTAAATTATGATAACATCCAATTATAAAGGTGACAAAACTAATGGCCATTAAATAACTTAAAGCCCTATACATACCATGGCGAAGACACGCAAAATGTGACAAACAGCTGCAACCAACAAAAGCGGCATAACAGTCACGTTTGCACTGACAGCATAAAACTGTGGCATAAGCATCCATAGAAACAGCTGAGCAAAGTTTTGATCTTATTAGACACCATCGAGCACGATGCTGGAATCTCATAAGTTGTACAAATGAAGCCTTGATGGAAATTTGAGAGCTCAAATGGTAAGCTGCACAATTGAGATCTTCAGGATTAGGACTAGTATACAAAATCATTGCTTCCTTGCAGAGAAGCTCTTCATAGGGTAATAGAGGAACCCTATTGAGAAACGCATAACGTCGACTTGCCACCGCTCCTAAAGGAAACCAGTCTCCAATTGCAAAGTTTACGGCTTCACCACAATTAAAACCTGCAGATACACATCTTAACATTGATTATGATGATCAAGATGTTCCACATGTATGTACAAATAAACAGACAAAATGGGATATATGCGATTCACTGAGGATATTTGCTAGTCGGCAGAAACATCAAGATCAATGTACTTGACACAAATTATAGCTGCCAAAAAAGCAAACTTCTCAAAATTAAACAATGTGTCCTTCACCAGAAGCATCTTTGATTGACCATCAAAACTAACAAATTAATGGGAAGCACACTCAACCACAAAACTTTATATCACTGTATTTGTAGCATTACATAGGATTTTCTTCATTAAGTCTATCAAATCAGTTCATAAATAACTCATGCTTAAGTTCATAAATAACTCATGCTTAAGTTCATAAATAACTCATGCTTATATTCATCAACTATGTGAATAAGCAAAACCTTCTTCCGAAATTTCTTGTGGTCAATATGTTATTTATGAACTAATTTGAAGACCTAAATCCTACCTTTCGTGGCATAACAAGAGGATTAAGACATGCAAGGTGAAACAAATTTCAAATTCCTAAAGCTTATTTGGAGATAAAGACCAAAACAAATAATGATTATATACTCAGAAATTAATATAGGGAATGAGAGATGCATGATTGCATACAGACACGTATATCACTTCATGTACCAGGGAATACTGAAAATAAAGGCAGGCAACATCAACCCAATAAGATATTAACCGTACCATGGCTAAACCCAGCATGATATGCCCTAGGAAATGTGATTACAAATTCCCCAGGCTTTTGCACAGCCCTATAAACAGGGACATCATGCTCTAACAGAACGCTCGGAGGAAATAGAGTTGTTTTTCCCAACAGTACATCAAATGCTCCATCTTCTCCATCAGTTGACAAAATATCTTCATTGTATACATGTTCTCGCACAACCTTCTCAAACTGCAAAGCCGCACTGCCAGGTATCCCATACCAAGTTTTAGGAGCCCCACAATGTTGATAGTTAATACTGCCATCAGAAAACAAGGAGCAAATGAAATAAGAATTTCCACTATAAAGCTTGATTTTACAAAATACATTTTTCAGAGTTCCAGAATGATTTAGTGTATGTACCTGTACAGATAATGATCTTCAACATGCCAGGCAAACATACTAAAAAGCATGCCTATGTAAAGCATAGGATCAGTCACTCCCTGTAAAATGGTATAAGGCAACCAACTAATTAAAATGGCCCAAAAACTAAAACATAAACACGGTATCATAATTTACAATAGGTAGTTCTGCATACCGGAATAGCTGCTTCTAGAAGCCGCAAAACTGATTTGGAAAGCCGAGAGAGTTTCTGAAATAAATGAACAGGCAATTTCACTTTAACAGATACAATTTAGAAACATTAGCAGACAACAATAAACCAAGTAAATCTCATAGGAAAGAGTAACATAATTGACGATTTATACTCCTGCACAATAGCCAACAAGTCGCTTCCAAACCAATTAACAACCAGACCACCCTATTCCTGTTAAAAGCTTAATTTAGAGAGAAAAAGGCGAAAAAAAAGAGAGATCTGACATCTTTATTGCTCTTATATTGCTTCCTTAATAGAAATCAATGCCCCACTACAATCGACTAAAGCAAAACATAAGCTACCAAGCATGTTTACTTCTAGACTATTTTAACCCGCAATGATTTATCATAATGGCACGGATTCATTCTTGATCCAGTAGGGAGGCTGATCAATGCAATACAAACTTCTTTCCTACTTCATATAGAGAGTCTAGTTAAGGAATGGACTGCATTTCAAAGGGTAACCAAGTTCCAAACACATGAAACCAAAAAAAGTTCAGATTAAAGCAATAATAATTCTCTTCTTCTTTGCTTCCCTCAACAGATTATTAACACTGGTGTCATTAAAGAGAGTGCACAGTTATCAAAAGCTATAATTGTTATTCCATACATTTTATTGCAATTATCATTTTAACCATCTGAGAACTGGAAAAATACAGTACACAAACGATCACAAGACACATTAATTTGGAGTACCTTCAAATTCCATTTGCTTTTTCCAAGTTCATCACTGGGGGAGGATGAAAAGGCACTTCCATCAACATCACATGCATACTCAACCGTTTCCATCTTCCCACAAGCTATTTCATGCCAAAATTCTTTTTCCAAGTACGAAGCGGGAAGACATCCAGTGCTACCATATCGCCGTAAATATTCCTTGTTCGCCATTTTCTCAAAATCACGAAATGCATAATTTCTGGAAAAAAAAAAAAAAAAAAAATTGTTGATCTGTATTCAGACATGAAAATTCCTCCACTTTATTGATTAATATCATGTCATGAAATAGAAAATCACCTTCCACTCATGAAAAAGGTAACCTTGTCATCAGTGTCCCATTCAGCAAGACGAAGTGGTTGTACCCTTGTAGTAAACTTAAAACCCGCTTTCTCCTTTGTCAATACAACCCCAGCAGGCACAGAAGCATTTATTGGAGAAACTATCTTGCAAATACCTGAAAATATTCACCTACAGCCAATAAGTATCATAGAATGCATAGGAAATGCTTGTATCACAAATAGTTGTAATTGTATCAGGTGATAGAGATGATATACCCATGAAAAGAAACATGTCCAATAACATACAAATTTGAAATAGCTAGTTACCATATTTAGATGCTTCTGGTGCTATTCTTTCTAGATAAACCAAAGGATCCTCAAATTCTTCCTTTGTTGGACGATACACAGGACACTCTGGGATTTTATCAATCCAATCTAAATCGGACATGTTAAACTTCTCCACCTTGCGCTTTGGAAAAAACTTCTTTCCATTTGAAGCAGCACCGGAGCAATTAAACAAATCTGCACCACCATGTATTCTAGTGCCACATGATGCTGAAGATCTCAATGCATCACCTCCACTTCTAGCAATCATATTAGCAACCTTGGTACCCCCGTTTCCTGTTTCTGACTTGATTCGCTGAAGCCTTTTCTGCTTCAGCATCTCTAAACAGCTACTTTTAGTCTCTTTCGACAAACAGACCCGCCCTTCCACCTGGAAACCAGTAAAGATAACATGAGTGGACATATAGATGAGACACATCGACAGTATGCAAAACATTAAGTCCACAATTACTGATCCAGAGCTATCTTTAAAAAGCTAAGAGGTCGAACTTTTAGGTCATACAATAAATAAATGATTGGACCTTTTTGGAAAAAAATAGCAGCAAGGCAGATTATCATGTGGGAGATTAATACGAAATTACCCATACAGCAACTAGTTGGCTTGAGTCTAAAAGGATCAAATGGTGGCACACCTAAGTTCAAAAACTATTCTTTGATTGTAGAGTTATAATAAATAACAGTGGGCAAAACCAGAATAAGATGTATATCATGAATCTCACCGGCAGCAACAGAAGCACGCTAACATGCCCCATGCCTTCTATCAGGCCATGCACTAGATTACTACAATGTATACCAAAAATTTTTACTGGCACAGAGATAGGCTTCTGCATTTGAGGAAAATCAAAGAACACTAGCATGGGGCAAACCGTTGATCATAATAACTAAAAAAACAGAAAGTCGAGCACAATTGGAGCAAAAGCTACAAGTAACACATGAAAATCCAGCCTAAAGATATACTCACTTAATCCTTATTAAGAAACTTATTGTTACAACTGTAAGCCACAGAATCTTTAAATTGAACTGGAGAAACTATTCCCTGAGTGCCAATAACCACCTCACAAGATTCCATGATTAGACTCCAATCAATACGATATTCCAACTCCAAAAGCAATTAGTAGTATCCCTCAACAGCTCAACCCCCCCCCCCCCTTCATCCTTCAAAACCGCAAACGAGCAAATTGTACAAAGCATTACCACCACCACCCTCCAAGAACCAATAAGTAGAACCCCTCAACCCTGTGCCTTGATTGCCTACCCTCCTTCAAAATCGCAACGAGTAAATAGCACAAAGCACCACCACCACACCACCCTCCAAGAAAAAATAAGTAAAATCCCTCTATCCCACCCCCTTATCCTTCAAACCCGAAAACGAGTAAATCGTACAAACCAAAACCACCACCAACACCACCACACGAAGCATTGAATATAGCATTAAACATCCGTAATAAACTCACTCCGTTTTCATGTGACATGCCAGCACTAAAACTCATAAAAGTGACAGTAAAAGTTGAGGAACAATTACCGATTCAAACAGAGTCAACCAAACTTCCTAATAATTGAACAAATCTATGAATTTCCACAAAATTGGAACCCACCAATTCAAAACCACACAAGTCAATTTCATAACAAAAATAAAAGGTCCTTTTTATGTTGAATTAAAAGGTTTGACCAAACTTCATGCAAAACAAATTTGGGCAGCCACTAAAAATAGAAACCATTTTTATACCAGTAAAATTCAACCTAAGTCTTCAAAGTCAATCTACGCCTTTTTCCGATTCAAAAAAATATGACATAATCAAAGTACATCCATCAATAGAAACAAATTTTGCACTAAATTTCTTCTTAAATAGCATATCAATGATTATATCATCTCATAAAACATTAAATTAAGATCTAAATTACCTTCTATGATAATGCACCCCAAAAAAAAATTTAAAAAAAAAATAATAAAATCAAAAATTACATTAAAAGAAAAAATTCAAAGAAACAGTACCATCTCATTCCGCGGTTTTCCGCCGTTAATCTCCGTCTTCTTCTCCACCGGAAAACAAATTGAATTTTAAAGGAAAATAAAAAATAAAGAAGAAAAGCGAAATTACACCAAACCCTAGATCACGATCTCCACATTCCTCTAAAACAGAGCCTTCATCGTCACCCACATTCTACTCAACCACCATAAAACTCAAGAAATTCATGCAAATTTCACGAAGATCCGAAACTTTATAATTTCCTTTTTTGTAAAAAAAATTAAGAATAGAGAAGAAAAAAAAAGTGGAGAAGATTACGAAGAGAAGAGAGAATGATCACCGGAAAAAAATTCCGGTGAGAAAAAATGGCCGGAAACCGGGAAACGGGAGTTAACCGGTGGAGGAGAGAGAAAAAGGGAGAGAAGATAGGAAAAGAGGAGAGAAAAAAAAGAGTGGGAATGAATGAATGAATAGGAGGGAAGAAGGGAAAAAGCTTAGGAAACCGGAAAAGAGGAGAGAGAAGAAAATTTATAGTTTTATATTCGTTTGCCTTTAATGGAGGTATAATACGGGATTAGTTTCCTTTTTTACGAATTAAAGGGGTTAATCACGATTTAATTATGGAAATGCAAAAATAAGAAAAAGGAAAATGGAAAATTAAAATGAAAGGGAAAGTGGGTGGTTGTTAGGTGGTTAAACCGAACCCATTTGCCGACCCCTTGAAACGCGTTTCATCTCTCTTCTCTTCCCCTTGTTTTGTAAACTACTACTCCTTTAAATGACTATATTGCCCTTTGAGTATTTGTATGTTTTCGGTAGTTTAGACGGTTTTTTACTTTTCCATTGCGTATGAGAGAGTCATGCAAGGATAATTACAAATAATGATATATGTAACCCTCTTTTACTACGTATTAGTATTATACTCATGCTCTGTACTTTCGCATCTCGTATTATGTACTCTATTTATCTCATTAAGTCAATTTCGTACATGACTATAGGCTATAGCTATAGTAATACTATGTATTAGGTAACATTAATCAAAACTTTGTATGTTACGTGTTCTCGATCTTTTTACATTTTATTAATTTTCTTATGTTCATATAAAGATGTGTTTAATTCAATCACCTGATTTTCATTTATCTAAACTTATCTAATTTATTAATATCTATCAAAACTTATTCTAGTTATAATTTGATTTATGTTTCCTTTCGTAAAATATCAACGGTTTTTCAAAATCCTTATTGATAATTTTAACTATATTAAATTTGTATTGAGATGTCACTTGCTATTATTGTGCAATATATACCGCCTCTGTTTCATATTAGATTACACATTTTATTTAGACACGTTTATAAACGCATACTTTGTACTCCTTAATTATAACAATGAATCCGGACGATAAACTCTTGCTTCATGCACACACTATTTCCCTTAATTTGAATTACGCCAACAACCATTATACATGCAAAACATTGATTAACCACTTTGATTAAGAACACTATAAATTGTTTTTATCTCCTAATACGTTATGATGTTCACATGTTAACCTACTATGCATGAATACATTGATTTGTTTTTCTTAAAACTAACTAGGTTACCAATTTACCTTTCATGCAACTGTTTTTCCAACCAAATCTTCAACTAACAATGGCAAAACTTTGGCCCACAATTGTATATGCAGTTGTATGAAAACTTTTTTTATTTATTACAAAGCATTGTGAAAGGTTGGCAAGCTACTATCATGCAAAACCATGCTAATACATTGCAATTCAATTACAAGTATTTAATTTATTCTTTTCACATCAGCATAAAATGTTCAACATTTATCATTATCATACCAATTTTGATTGTCTCATTTTACTTTGTCCTAAATCTCACTTTGAGGTGTCCTTATTTGGTTGCATGTGTATCATTTTAATTTTATTTATTTTATTTTATTTTTATTTTTTTGGTATTCTTTTGGGTTAGACCAATAGTAGTCATTCCTGTTTTTGGACCTCTCTTCTTTGTTCCTATGCAAATAGTATGGATCAGGTAAATAAGAGAGGTGGAATTATAATTTAATAATATACCAAGTATTTATTTTAAAATCAAATTAACTTATAATAATACCAACATAGGTGATAATTATGTCCTCAAACAATGATTATCACAACTAATCAAATTATTTCAATAATGGAGTAATGCTTGAAATGTGAGGCACACAGTGAAACATTTATTGATCACATGTTTGATTGACCATTTCAATTCTTCCACTTTTCTTCTATCTTCTTCATTGACTATTAATTCTTTCCGTCATTAGTTTTAGTAGTAAAATTATTTTAAAATAAGATAGGTAGACAATAATCATATTTAGTCTAATCATACTTATCTTCATTATTATATACAATCCATAGAATATTATATTTGCTTTTTTTTTTTAGGGGGAGAATATTATATTTACTTGGTCAAATAAGTTATAAGTTGATTTCTATAATACAAAGTATCACAGTTTAAACTCATGTCAGCATCAACATTACTTGCTACCGCTATTTTGGATTTCTCAATATTCAAGGTAGAATTACCAAACAAACAATGCACGTATCAAGATTTTGATGGGAAAACTAATGTTAATGTTAAAATCAGTAAAAGGCGGAAAAGTTAGGGGAAAAAAAAGTAATTTAATTGATGTGATTGAGTGAGTGTACTTTTTATTTTCATCTTCTATTTGACCAGCGGAGATTTGCATTGTCTACCAATGTTGGATACAAATGTACTTTAAAGATTCCATCTATATTAATGGGATTTAATAGGGAATTGACTGAATTCAAAATAGATATACTAACATTAATTGGGTTATGTTACTGAATTTGTTAATATTTGATTTTTTTGTAATTAGGGCATGTTCCGGGTCTGTTCCAATTTAATGAAAACAATTTAAGTGAATAGAGCTGAAATGAATAGTTTATGAGACAATTAAAGGAAATTAGGAACTGAACTGAACAAAATCGATTGGAGCTAAATTGAACTGAATTTAAGCTGAACAGAACAGACCCTTATTGGAGCTGAAATGAATTGTTTATAAGAGAGGGAAATTAAATTAGGAATTAATTGAAGTGAACTGATTGGAGCTGAACTAAACTGAAATTAAGCTAAATAGAACATACCCTTAGCTTTAATTTGACTTTGTGCTTACACTATTGCACATCTGTACCCCTAATTTATCCAACTAATTATAGATAACGGTAACGTTTTTTAGTTCTAATATGGAAAAGTTTCCCTATTATTTGATCTTCTTATATTTTCTCCTCTTATGTTCTTTAATTTGACGGTACATAAAAATAACCTTATTACTGTAAAATTACTTTGATAGCTCAAACAATAATTTTTCTAAATAATTTACATGTCAAACTAAACGTTGCGATAAATTAATTAGTAACAGAACAAGTGAGCAACCCAACGAAGTGTAAATTACTTTGGTTCTAGAACATTGTGAATGAAAGTGAAGAATTGGAAGTTTGGAAGCATGAAGATGAGAGAAGTTGGTAAATGATGCATACCCATGCAGATTGAGATTGGTAAAACAGCAAAGAAAGCATTAATGAGAAAAACATAAACATAAAAGCTAACAACTTTTGATACGTGTGTTTCTGACCATAGACGTGGTCGTAAATGTGGGGGGTTTGATAGCGTAGAATAGGTCTTTCATCTTTGAGTATGTACGCCACTTATTCATTCATTCCCAATTTCCGCAAACAAAGAATAGGATTCATGATTCAGGAAGCATCGCCGCATACGTATCCCTCAGTCTAGCCACGGGATTAGGGTGTCATGCGCTGTACATCCTACATCTCATTTAACACCCTTCTATACACTCCATACAGTGATACAACGTACTCCTTTCATCATATTCTATGTGTTTCGTAATAATCGTAACATTTTCTTTTAAATTCGTTTCACAATATAATCTTCAATTACTTGAAATAGGAGGATTACTTGTACGGTTGTACCCATATACAAGTATTCCATCCGTTTTTAAATACTTGTTGCATATCTATTTTTTGCACTATTTATTTGTCCTACTTTGTCTAATGTTTGTGACTTATACATATGAAAATATATAGTCTTGTGAGTACTCGTTGGAATCGTCTCAATGAATAGATTATTAATTTTTAATTGTTACTCCGTAGAATTTATAGTTACTGATAATTAAAGATATTACTGATCAAAGAGTAACATCGACATACGTGCCAAAGAGAAATGGAGCAAGTAATTAAAAACGGAGGGAGTACATTTTTATTAAAAAAAAAAATTCATTCCGTTTATTCTATTTACCTCATTAATTAGACTCATTTTTTTTTACTCCGTACCTTGTATAGTATTATCAATAACAAATAAATAAGGGCTTGTTTGACATCAGTTTTGGTTTTCAGTTTCCTTTTTTTTGAAAACCAAAAACCAAAAACAGGAAACAAGAAAAAGGAGTTTCCACTTTTCTATTGTCAGTTTTCATAATTATCATAATTTTAATAAGTTTATATAATTTTTGATTCATTATGGGACTCATATCATATACTTTTAGAGAACAAAAAACCAAAAAACAGAAAACCACAACAATGCCAAACAAACCCTAAATTATTAATTTACCTTCACGCTTATTATATGCATTTTTCATTTTTTTTTTTACTAGATTAATGTGTCACAGATAGCGAAATTGATCCTTTGATCTTGATATAACGTCTTAATTTAAAATTCGTACCTCCTGGGAAATTTGATTATATTGTGTTTCGGATGAAAACTATGGGGCCTTGCCGAAGGCCCGCTGAAGTGGCTGAAGACTGGTTCGGTCCAATTGATGCTGGGCCGAAGGTTTCCTGCACAACTAAAACACGTAAACTAGCCTCGGGGGTGGATCCGAGGAAGACCCCTCCTGTTTAGGGTAATTTTACCCTACCACGTGGCCCAATCAGAAGGTGACACGTGTCAGCCCCAGATTGGTCTAAAATGGACCAATCCCTGCTCGACACGTGTCATTCCCGAAATTAAGGGAAAAGGCGGCCTTCAGGCCCAAATCCCGAGAATGCCGCCAAACGGCGCAGCCCACCAATGATTAGGGTTCAGTAACCTAATCAGGGGCACAATTCCCAAAGACCCTATAAATAGGGAGATGTCCCTCATTTTGAGGACGCGTTTTTATCATTTATTACACAATTACTCTTTGATAGAGACATTCGGAGCTCGGAATCCAAGCAGATCCCCACCTAAATTTCCGCACCTTTTTCTCCCTTCAAGTTTCTAACTTGTGCGTCGGAGGCGGAGCACCACCCAACTGGTGTCTCCGTTTGTTTTGCAGGTACAGCTCACCCCGGATCAGTCTTCGTGTTGTAACTCTCCCGAGGGACAAAAACACCCAAAACATTTGGCGCCGTCTGTGGGGAGAGTACCTCGAAGATGGTTCAAGAGTCTGTACCACCCCCTAACCGTCTGGGTGAAGACCCAGAAGTTTTTACAGACCATGAGGATGAAGATCCTCAGGTCGAAACTTTTACAGCCGGAGACGGCTCTCTCAAAACTAAACGCATCCGGCCCAGAGACACTCTGGAGCGGGGTGCTTCCCAGGCGGGTCCAAGCAGACCCCCTGGGCAGCCGGAAGGGGCAACCCAAACGGCAGCTGGATCAGCCCCTGTCACCCGAGACGAACTCATGAGGTTCATGACGAGTTTCAAGG